CCTGTCTCGGCCTCCCAGAGTGCCCATCTTTTATTTTTGGACATAGTCTTGCTCTGTTGCCCAGGCTAGAGCACAATGTCACCATCATAGCTCACTGGAACCTCAAACTCCTGAGCCCACGTGATCCTCTTGCTTCAGCGTCCCAAGTAGCATGGACTACAGGCTTGCCACCACCCCTGGCTAATTTTTTCTATTTTTTATAGAGCCGAGGTCTCACTCTTGCTCAGGCTGATTTTGAATCCCTAAACTCAAAACATCCTTCGGCCTCAGCCTACTAGTGTGCTAGGATTACAGACAAGAACCACTGCGCCCCATCTTGTTTTCTGCATCTTTGAAATTCAAAGCCAAAGTCTGTGGTAGAATTATGGGGAAAGAGAACCTCGGATAGTTAACTGGGTCTAAAATAATTATCTTGGTGTTTTTCCTAGCATCTTTTTGACTTAAAAACTTCAATCTAAAATACTATATTTTTCTTCAATATCTACCCAGTAAGCCAAGCAGAGTAAATTCCCAAGTAGAGGCATGGCATTGAGCTGGACTGAGACTGGGTGAGCGTTTGGGTTTGCTCTTGTTCTTAGGGATTATCCCCCAGGGGGTTCCATGCAGAGCCTGGGGGTCTGTTACTAAGGTGGAGCTGAAAGACTTCAGGGATTCCTCTAAGACAGAGGTTTTCAGCTGAGCTCTTTAGGCTCACACCCCACATAGCATCCAAAATCTGGCAAAAGTTATAAACCACAAGCAGCTATGTATTCATGGAGACATCCTTTAAGAAGTACAAGCAGCTTCCAGGTAAAACTGGATTGTTTTGTCATGCAAATTCCGGAGGGTGACAGAAATATAGTACCTCCTCTGTAACTGATTTGGGGCAGTATGACTCAACTCTAGCAAGGAATGACATGGGCTATGACGTGTCTTAACAACCAGGGTGCCTCCCCCTTACCTCTCCTCCTCTCCCGTGACTACAGATTGACATGGACGGAAGATAAGACGCAAGCAACCTGGATGCTCCGGACACCACAGGGAGGGGAGCCGTCTTGGAGTTACCAAGCCCAGTTTGGATTTTGCATGATTGAGAAACAAACCTTTCCTTTTGGGGTTTTGTTACCATAGTTTATCCTAACCTATTTATTATACCATTCCACACTTAGATGGGGAAAAACCCCACAAAGATTTCATATTTCTTGGAAAAAATGATGAAACAACAAAAACCCCTAGCCTTTCATGATACAGTCTGGGTTAGGCGCCTGGGAAAGTTACATAAAATTTGGATGCTCAGCTTTCTATAAATTTTAGTAAACGGTATTTACAAAAATTTATTAAACAACTTATATATGATCAGTTCTATCAGAAAAGGGAAAAAACACACAGAATAGCAATTTTAAAATATTATATTTCTTGTAGAGACCAAGACCAGGCTTAAACTTTTAATTTTGTGGTAAGGGCTATCAATGTTTCCATCATGATTTTATCCAACTCTATGACCCAGGGAAGGTCCTAGTGCCAAGATGGTTGGTGTGTGAAACAGAGGAAAAAGTTCTCTGAAATGTTTGTATTACAAGTTCAAAACAAGTTACTTTGTTGCCACTCCCATCTATCTTGCAGTGCCAGCCCACAGCATAGATGGAGGGAGGAATGCTATCCTTCTCTTAATGTAGCATTGAGAACTCTCCTAGGGGTGATTCTGTGTATTTTCCAGATTTTTGTTTCTGAATATGGCTTATTCCAGAGATATGGGGAAGAATTAAGTTTATATAATGAATTTTCCCATGGAGCATGAAACTTGGCTTAAGCAATTTCCATGATCATTATTAGTAGAATGAACATCTTCCACACCCGCAACTGGAAAGTCTATTACTTATTTCTAAGTCTTCTTCACAAATAAGCCAAGTTGTTGTTAATATTAAAGGTTACTATTTTATTGTATAATTTTAAAAATTCTGCAAAGTATGAAAGAAACACCTTAAATGGCACTTTAAGTATAACTCTATTCCCTTAAAGGTTATTTCAATCTCAAACTACAAAGCACATATACTTCTGGTCAAGTGTAAGGATAAGTATGTTTGAATACCAAAATGCTATTGATACAAGACAAAAATAATAAAAAACCTGCCCATGTTGTTTAAGTATAAAGCTTCTCATTGTACCCATACCAACCAACTTGGTTACTATATGGCTAATTCTACATCTAGAATAATGCATGATCTCATAATGCCCTGGTCATTCTTCCAAGCTCAATTTTAAAAAACTTTTTACTCAAAGCTATGCATATATATATGCATTCTATGCCTCTGGGAAGGAAGCTCACAGGAATTAAACTTATAAAAATATTCCTACTGAAGTTAAAACTGTCAAAGTGAAACATTAATACATTTTCTGTTACATTAGTCCAGAAATTAGCATGGTGTTATTTAATACAGTGCTGAGAACATAAAACTATCTAGAGATCCAAATAGCATCACTAATGTAAAGAAAACTGGGCAGAGATCTGGAAAGAGAGACTAGTTAGGTTTTTAGCCCACAACAGCCATGTGCCTCCCGGATGGATATGCAAACTCCCACAACAGCTGCACACACCGTAGGGGGAAAGGGAGGCATTCACGGAGCCTGCTATATGTCACAGTGACAGGCAGGGCTCACACTGAGCAGTTCCACAAAGGTTAAATACAGTAATGCTTCCAAACCAGGTGGTAGGTGGCTGCTCCCTGGAGTCTCCTGAGCAACCCCTCCCCACGTCCCCCACCCCACCCCAACGCACACAATGACCCTGCAATAGGGGCCACTTGAACCCATCTTCTGCGCTGTGGCGCTTGCTCTATTTGATCAGAGCCCAAGCCATATCCACTGGAAGCACTTCTGAATCCCACAGTTGGTGCTGGAGGCTTGTGAGGCAGGTGCTATTAGAAACAGTTTACAGCTGAGGAAAATAAGCCTCAGAAAGATTAGTGACTTCCCTAAGGTCACCGACTATTAAGTAACAAAGCTAGCAGGCAAAGCTAGGTCTGGCTTCCAAACCCACATTTTCTCCACTTTTTAACCTTCTCCTTAAAAAAAAAGTTATGACTCTGGTCATTAGCAGACAGAGAGTGATGTTCTAGGAAGCAATATAATGTAAAATCATTTGAAACACCCAAAATATGATTAAAATTAAGAACAAATTGTCTATGCTCATTCTTTGGATCCAGTAATTTTAGTATCCAAATTTGATGTCTGTCATATTCTAGAAGTAAGACCTTAGTATCACCCTGACATACCACATATTCAATTAAAAACAGGTGGGATGTCAGGGTATATAGTTTATACGAATAGCCTAAGGTCCTTCAGACTAAAATGGATCATAAACTTAAAATTTTAAACTTAATTACATACAGACATTTAAAAATCCAAGTTAGAGTCACTTGTGCAGTCTGGATTACTCATTTGTGATCTTGGTGGAGAGCCACACATGGATAATTTTATCAGTCTTAGAGGACTCAGAGACAAATTCAGGGGCCATATATTGGTATCTAGTGAAGTTTCTACAAAGCTCCAAGGCTTCCTTTTAAAGAATTTGACTTACTAAAGTCAGCTTTGCAATTTTTTTTTTCATTAGAGACCAACTGATACCACTAGTGGGAGAGGAACAAGGATATACCTTCTGTGCTCATGACAGTGGGCTGAGGAGATAGGTGAGCTGCTGTCTGTAAATTAGGCAGTATGAGTTGATGGACCTGATCCTGGACTTAAAAAGGGAAGGAAAAACAGATGTGAGAACAGAAAAAGGGTTGTGACTCACTCTTCATCTTACCTAGAATGAGTTTGGGGCAGGGCCCCACTCTCAAATGACAGCCACTAAGGCTTGACTCAGATGGCATTCCTGATCTAATACTTGAAGAATTCTTCAGATTTGCTCTTTTAAGGTGACAATCATGTTTGTAGCTATATGGCTCTGTTGCCTTTCAAGAGTCAGGATGTTTAACTCACTAAACCATGTTTATAATAAAACAAGATGTTAACATAGCATCAAAAGATAATAGAGCCAAAACCTGCCAGAGTGACTCTGAAATTACTTAGCAATGGGTACCAATTTCCTATGTGAAGATACAAGTAAATTATTCCATTTGGATTAATTAGGCATCTTGGACATACTGGGTTACTGGCATTTTATTCAAAATCTATATTTCCTTAGAAAAACTTTGGCAGACAGACATAAATCTGTGTGATACATCTCCTATGCATCTCTGATTCTAAAATAGTTACCTAAACCCAGGTCAAGGAAGCATATGGCTTGTCTACCTCCTTTTCTGCATTTTGACACTAGCAGTAGCCCATTCATTTGAAAATAATATGGTGAAGCAGTGATCCAGGTGTACATTACTTATTCAACCTCATTTTAGACTTTGATATTTGCCTTATGCCTCACCAAAATTTTAAACAAAACTGGGCATTTACATTCAATTCAGGACTTTAAATAAAGTTACTTTATAAACATAGTACTTTATGATTCACAAATATGAAAACTCCAATAACAAAACCAAAAACTTGTGGGTAGCACCTAAAGCACTCAATCAGTGCTACTAACATTTCATTACCGTGTCAGTTATTTTTTTTACAGGATTTCTTCTTTTTTTAGGCAGAGTTTTGCTTTGTCACCCTGGCTACAGTGTAGCAGCATCATCATAGCTCACTGCAACCTCAAACTCCTGGGTTCAGGCCTCCTGAGCAACCAGATGTGCCACTACCCCCAGCTAATTTTTTCTATTTTTAGTAGAGACAGGGGTCTCACTCTTGCTCAGGCTGGTCTCGAAGTGACCTCAAGCCATTCTCCTGTCTCAGCCTCCCAGGGGAGTGCTAGGATTACAGGCGTGAGCCACCGTGCCCACTGGATTTCTATCTTAATCTACAGAGGAAAAGGTATAGCCCTTAAGCCACTCCTGATAGCACTGTTACTTACCCAGGATTAGCCTTGATAATGGTTATTAGATTTAACTTGAACTTGAAAACATTTTATTTTTGTCTTGAAGTATCCTTAAAGAATTTAGTCAACTGATTTTTAAGTAAAAGAGCTAAGTTAGTTAATATCCTAATTCTTGAAAGCTCCCTTTGAATATAATTTTCATAGTCTTTACATTTTAACTGTCATTGTTTATTACTATTTTGGCTACATTCTCTACAATTTCAGCAGCATCTTAAAAGAGACAATGTGTCTATGTACAATGAAAAAACAAAATGGCTTGGAACATCAGAAATAAGAGCCACAGTTTAAATGTACAATATTAAGGAGAATCTGTGGTAAGTAAGTATAGCCTCCATTTTCTGCAACATGGACAACTTACATGTAAGTATCAACATTATGAATATGACACTAAAGAAAAAATTCTTACAGGAGTAAAATACAGCATCCTGAAAAATATTGGTTTCTGCCATACAAGGCAGTTTAGAAAATGTTCACATTTTAACAAATCTGTACAAACCACAAGAAACTTATTTATGGGACCATCATCCCACCTTGCTGATAAGAACCTTCTAGAAATGTACAATAACCATGAACAATTTATAAATCTAGTATCTATGTGCTCCACAGCCCTAGAACCCAAGAAACTGATTTAAAGAACTCAGTATGTCCACTTTGGACCATTTTTACATGCCTTGATTGTTAATGAATGCCTGCTTTTAATCTCTCTCTATAATGTACAGTCAACTTGCACCTTCAAGGTCATTCAATTTTTTAGCAAAGAAGCAACATCATTTAGCAGCAATTAAAGCGCCTTCAAGAAGACTTAAAAAAAATACAATATCCAATTAGAAAAGCCATATTTTTAAACATTTGTACAAGAATAAGCTGCTGAAACTTAGTAAATGAAATATATGACATCTGTACAACAATTTACAATAGTGCTAGAAGGGAATTTATCATTATCCTGCATAGAACTGGTCTGCATTTGGTTATATACTGTCACTTGTTTTGATGAACAAGGCCTGGTAACAAAAGAAAAATATTTGTTAACGATTCTAACATATTGAAAACACTGGAGATATTACAATTTAGTGAGTTCAACTGATTTCAAAACAAGCAGCTCATTTTGTCAAAGGTGTAAAGTATCTAGAAATAATAGCTCTCCCTTTAATATAACCAGTGAGAAAAACGGACATGTGATTTCGAGGTACAACTTGGTAAAAGCCAGAATAGGCAAATGACAAAGCCTAACTTTGTCCAAAGATTCTAACTCTCACATTCTATTACTATAAAACACAACTGTCACTGTCATTCAGTTCTTACTTTGGTTTCAGCAGATTAACTGCCAAATGCTGAATAATGTATCCAGGCACTGTAGTTCTTGTGTTAGAAATATGTCTCATATTTTTTCCATGTGTTTTTAAATAATGAAAAACTACCCTTCATATTAGAACTCTCTAGTAACAACCAAATGTATTTAAGTATTATAAACGTTATTTACAGTGTTCCCCCAAATAAACAAAAAAATTTTTTCTTCCATCTTAACATGGTATTCCTGTTTCTGTGCAACAGGCAGTCATCCTTCACCACTCAAGGTTATAGTCAGAAGTGTACATTTATTCATTGTCCATGATCCACTCTCATACAAATGACACTATGAAGAACTACAGTTCACAAACAGTTCTTAACCATGTCCTGTGTAAAAAAAGAAAACAAAAAACACTCAAATGCTCTCAAACTCAAGTGTGCATCTGGAAGCGATTCAAAGATATGCCAATCTTGGAGGCAAGTCAGAAAGTAATTATGCTTGAAGAAGGGGGTGTAGGGGATGCTGTCAGCCCAGCCAGGTGTAAGTTCCCTGAAGAATTTGACCTTCTCATGTGTGGGAGAAGGTATGGGTCATTTGCCAGTTGGTGTACATCAAACCGATCTTCTTTTCTGTATGCCAAACAGCGTCTTATAAAAGCCTTAAAAAAAAAAAAGAGACAATGAACATATGTAGGTGATGGGCACACTTACAACTCTGACTCAAGCATAACAAAATCAATCTATGTAATCAAAAACATTTGTAACCCCATAATATTGTGAAATTTAAAAAAAAGGAAGAAAGAAAAAGCCAGCAATTAAAATGATCTTTTTCTCTTCTAAGTATCAATCAACTGAATCCTATAGAAGGATGGATACATTTAAGACAATAAGCAGTTATCATCTGATTGGAAGTTCAAACTTTAAAAAAATAAATTTTCCCTGGCAATAAAATTCTCACTTCAAATTCTCTTCTCTTCTCTCCCTAGCCCCTAGTGGTTTACCATATAGTCTAAATTATTATTGCTACTATTTGAACTTACTACTGGACAATTATATTTCTTACAAAACTCTGAAGACTTCTTTTTCTAGCATTTTTCTTCTGTTCAACAATCCTCCTATCCCCATCCCATTTTGTTACCACTTCAGTTTGGCCAAAGGGTAAGATGCCTTTTTTTTTTTTGAAGGAAAAATATTTTTATTTTATTTTTTTTGACACAGAGTCTTACTCTGTTGCCCAGGATAGAGTGCTGTGGCGTCAGCCTCCCAAGTAGCTGGGACTACAGGCATATGCCACCATGCCTGTCTAATTTTTTCTATATATTTTTATTTGGCCAATTAATTTCTTTCTATTTTTTTTAGTAGAGACGGGGTCATGCTCTTGCTCAGGCTGATTTTGAACTCCTGACCTTGAGTGATCCTCTTGCTTCAGCCTAGGATTACAGGCATGAGCCCCTGTGCCTGGCCGTAAAAATGCCATTTTTAGCCATAATATTTTCCTACAGAGCATAAAGACTTTCATTACATGAAGGAACATCGAATTGACACTTCCATCAGGGTTTTTGTTTTCTAGGTTAAAACCGTTATAACACTTTTTTTCTCAAACTAGTTTTACATAGCCTTTCCTTGAGAATATCCTTTTATAAAAAACTTTACTGAGGTATAACACATTTTCAGAAAAGCACACAAATCGTAAGTGCACATCACAAAGTAAATACATCTATGTAACTGGGCAAACAGATCAAGAAAAAGAACCCCCTAAGCCTCCTCATGCCCTCTTCCAGGCACTGGCTCTGTCCCTAACTGAACCTGGGTACCCTCTATCCTGACTTTTAACACCATAGTTAAGTTTCGCTTATTCTGAATTTTATGTTCATAAAGTTATAGATAATGTTCTCCTTTACCTGGCTTCTTTTGCTCAATATTTTAATTGTGAGACTCATCCATTTTTTTGCAACAGATATTCTCAAGGGATAACTGGTAATTGTCTACCTTTTTATTGCTGACACTGTAACATTAACTTGTCTTGAAATTCCTGACACATAAATTCATAAAACATGTGCAAGAAAAAAACTATAAGTTACATACTGTTAAATAGAAGTTTAATCATGTTAAAAAGTTAACATTTTGCACCTTCTTTGCTTTGAAATTCATTAGAAGTAATTTTTTCTGTAAAAACATCTAGCCATTCTTATCTTTTTACCACAGTTAGCTTCCTATTTATCCAGAATGTATCTGATCCCTTAGAAGTCTTATCTTTTTTAGTCTTTAATAAAAAACCAAACCAAAACAAAGAAAACATCTCAGTTCTTGCCTGAGCAAGAACTAAACTCCATCTCTACAAAAAAATAGAAAAATTAGCAAGACATTGTGGTGTGCGCTTGTAGTCCCAGCTATTCGGGAGGCCGATGCAGGTGGACTGCTTGAGCCCAGGAGTTTCAGGTTGCAATGAGTTGTGATCACACCACTGCTCTCTAGCCAGGGTGACAGAGCAAGACTGTGTCTTAAAAAACCAAACAAAATAACTTTCAGAAACTTTGAAAATGATTAAGATAGAGGGAAAAAAATCAAGAGTAACTGGCTGGGCGCGGTGGCTCACACCTGTAATCCTAGCACTCTGAGAGGCTGAAGTGGGCAGATTGCTCGAGGTCAGGAGTTCAAAACTAGCCTGAGCAAGAGCGAGACACGTCTCTACTATAAATAATTGGCCAACTAATATATATAGAAAAAAATAGCCAGGCATGGTGGCGCATGCCTGTAGTCCCAGCCACTCGGGAGGCTGAGGCAGAAGGATTGCTTGAGCCCAGGAGTTTGAGGTTGCTGTGAGCTAGGCTGATGCCACGGCACTCTAGCCTGAGCAACAAAGTGAGACTCCGTCTCAAAAAACAAAAGAGTAACTGGTATGTTCAAGTCAGAGTTTGAAGGGAAGAGAGGTTAAGAGGTCTGCAACAAGTCAAAATATTTAAGATGCCCGTGGATCAGGGAAAATACCTGGCAATGGTGTATTTAAACATGTGGAACTCTCATTCCCCTAACCATTCCTAAATTCCAGATACCAAAAAAAGTGATTGTTGCACCTATAAAGAGCCTAAGGATGGAACTAGAGATAGTTAAATGGGACTCTCCTTTGGCATACTCCACTTACTCCTGGCCATTTTTGTCAGTATTAAAAAAATAAATGGGCCAGGTGTAGCGGCTCATGCCTGTAATCCTAGCACTCTGGGAGGCCGAGGTGGGAGAATTGCTTGAGCTCAGGAGTTCAAGATCAGCCCGAGCAAGAACAAGACCCCGTTTCTACTAAAAATAGGAAAATTAGCCGAGCATGGTGGTGTTTGAGACCCCGTTTCTAATAAAAATAGAAAGAAACTAGCTGGGGCATGATGGCACATGCCTGTAGTCCCAGCTACTCTTGGGAGGCTCAGAAGAATGATTTGAGCCCAGGAGTTTGAGGTTGCTGTGAGCTAGCCTGATACCACTGGCATTCTAGCCCGGTTGACAGAGTGAGATTCTGTCTCAAAAAAAAAAAAAAAAAAAAAAAAAGGATCTTATGAAATTCATTTAGTTTCTGTCCTCACTTGTAGACAAAAAGGGAAGAACACAAAATTTAAATGCTAGCACTGCTAAAATCTTTTCAAAGGAGTCATATTTACCATATGAAAATAATTCATTATGCTTTAAAATAAGAATATTAAATTTATCTTTTTAATTGTCAACATCTTCTAATTATCATTCAAATTACTTGTAAGAAAACAATAAAGATGCAAGAGACAAAAGGGAATGTTAGACAGTTCTAGTAAAAATTCCTAGGAGATTACACAAAACCAAGCACATTTTCAATTATGAAGAATACCATGACTTAAACATCTAGCAGTACTTATCTAACCTATATAATACTAGTAGAATATAGGAACTATATAGTGACTGTTATGAATTATTCTTATGGCCTAGATTATTCGCATCAGGAAAAACAGGAGCTTCATGGGTTTGTCTTATGAATTTCACAAGGTTTAAAAAAGAGAAGACTCCCAACAGGGAGTCACAGAGAAAGGAGCTTTGTGATGAGTGTGACATAGCAGGAATAAAAATACATATATGAAAGGCCAATAGAATGAAGATGGAAAGATACATACCACAAAAGTTTTGCACTAATTAGAAATAGCTATTTCCTGTAATTTTATTTTATAAACATATGTAGATTAGAATTAGATTACTGGATGTATATGGATTATATTAGATTAGCTCTCAAGAGCTAGTGCAAAGCAGTGCAGAGGTCAAAAATGTGGATTTTGGAGTCTGGCAGGAATGAATACTTGTGAGCTACAGCTCTGCTACCTACTAGCTGGTATGATTCTAAACAAGGTACTTTTGCTGTGACTTGGCTGGTTTCTTACTTTATAAAATGTAAGTAACAAAACTACCCACACCTGATAAGGTTGTTAGAAGATAATGTATATAAAAGTGATAAATAAATAGTTAAGTAGTTATTATTATTACTTTCATTATTTCTTAAATAACATAAAGGTAAGGATGGGTCCAGATCTTGTGATTTTCCCTACTTTTCAAAGCAAGCTGATGAGCACAATTAATCAACCACCACCATATTTGGGTGTTTAAAAGATGAAAACTCTTGCAACCAGATGGGAATGCAGCTCCTTTTTCCAGAACAAATCACCTGTCCCAGCAAGACAGATCCCTTGCAATGCTAATTCCTGTGACTTTACTTACTGGTATTAACTGTACTGTCAAGTACAACTGATGAAAAAAAGTTACATCACAAAACTTATTTACATAAATTTAATACCTTGGCTTCAGTGCTTACAACTGGTTTTACAGGGAACTGGACTTCTGTGGCTTTTAATATTGTATTTTCTTGAAGAATGTCTTGTTGGGATTGATTGTGACCAAATGGCTAAAAAATAAAAAGTTGAAAAATTTATCTCACAAAATATTTAAAAGGAGAGCATCAATAAATCCCCTACACCCAAATTACAAATGATTTATGTTTTAAAATCTTATCCTCAATTATTTGTAAGTTGAGATGCATTCTCATAGAAAGCAGATTATAACTGACAGCAGGCTGAGAAAACCTATCTAATCGATCTTCAACATAGATTAAACACTGTAAGAAGCAGAAGAAAATAATGCTGTCATAGCATACGTAATTAAGATAAAATAAAAACAAAAAATGTAAAACTTTATTCTAAATGTACACAAAATGAAGTCTGATTACAGAAGAGATGAAGAAACAATGAGAATGTCTGTGAAAATTCCAAAGAATAAAATATTTGTGTATAATACACTATCTTAAGGAGTTCTGGATTTGGAGATAGGAGACATGGGTTTGGTCTAAACATTGTATGAATTCCCAGACAAGTCCCTTAATTTTTCTTTCCATACTGATGAAGGGATATGGACTAGATAATATCCATGGTAACTTGCACTTCTGATTTAAATGTAAAGAGATTTGAGAAGAATTAAGACTAAGTTTTTTTTTTTTTTATTTGAACAGATTTAGGGGGTACAAGTGGTTTTTTGGTAACATGGAAGAATTGCACAGTGGTGAAGTCAGGGCTTTTAGTGTACCTGTCTCTTGAATAATATACATTGTACCTGACAGGTCATTTTTGTTTTTTTGAGACAGAGTCTCGCTTTGTTGCCCAGGCTAGAGTGAGTGCCGAGGCATCAGACTAGCTCACAGCAATCTCAAACTCCTAAGCTCAAGGCTCCTGTCTCAGCCTCCCACATAGCTGGGACTACAGGCATGCGCCACCATGCCTGGCTGATTTTTTCTATATATATTAGTTGGCCAATTAATTTCTTTTTATTTATAGTAGAGACGGGTCTCACTCTTGCTCAGGCTGGTTTCGAACTCCTGACCTTGAGCGAGCCACCTGCCTCGGCCTCCCAGAGTGCTAGGATTACAGGAGTGAGCTACCGCGCCCGGCCCTGACAGAATATTTTTGATCCCTCCCCTCTCCTCCCTTCTGAGTCTCCAAAGTCCACTACAGCACTCTGTATGACCATACATACCCATCATTTACTTCCCTCTTATAAGTGAGAATGTGCAGTGTTTTTTTTCCATTCCTGAGATACTTTACTTAGGATAATGGCTTCCAATTGAATCCAAATTACTGTAAAAGACAGTATTTCATTCTTTTTTATGGCTGAGTAGTACTCCATTATACGCGCGCGCGCGCACACACACACCACATTTTCTTTACTTGTCAGTTGATGGGCAATTAGATTTATTCCATATCTTTACAATTGTGGAATGTACAGGTGCCTTTTTGATATAATGACTTCTTTTCCTTTGGGTAGATACCCAGCAGTGGGGTTGCTGAATCAAATAGTAAGTCTTTTAGTTCTTTGAGGAATCTCCATGCTGTTTTCCATACAGTTTGTCGTAATTTACATTTCCACCAAAAGTGTATGAGCATTCCCTTTTCACCACATCTGTGCCAACATCTACTATTTTTTTTTACTTTTTATTAATAGCCATTCTGACAGGGGCAAGAAGGTATCTCATTGTGGTTTTAATTTGCATTTTCCCAATGACTTGTGATGCTGAGCATTTGTTCATGTTTGCTGGCCATTTGTGTATCTTCTTTTGAAAAATGTTCATGTCTTTTGCCCACTGTTTAATGTGGCGGTTTCTCTCTTATTTAAGTTCCTTGTAGATTCTTGATATTATTCCTTTGCACTATGTATGGTTTGCGAATATCTTCTCCCATTCTCTAGGTTGTCTATTTACTCTGCTATTTCCTTTGCTGTACAGAAACTATTTAGTTTAATTAAGTCCCAATTATTTATTTTTGCTTTTGTTGTACTTGCTTTTGAGATCTTAGTCACAAATTCTTTGCCTAGGCCAATGTCCAGAACACTTTTACCTAAGTTTTCGAGAATTTTGATGGTGTCAGGTCTTACATTGAAGCCTTTAATCCATCTTGAGTTAATTTTTGTGTGAGAGATAGGGATCCAGTTTTATTCTTCTGCATGTAGCTATCCAATTTTCCCAGCACCTTCTATTGAATAGGGTATCCTTTCCCCAGTGTATATTTTTGTCTGCTTTGTTGATGATCAGTTGGTTATATCTATATGATTTTATTTCTTATTCGTCTACTGAGCTATGTGTCTACTTTATACCAGTGCTATGCTGTTTTGGTTACTATAGCCTTGTAGTGTAATTTGAAGTCAGGTAATGCAATACCTCCAGTTTTTTTTTTTTTTTGCTTAAGATTGCTTTGGCAATTTGGGCTTTTTAAAAAATTCCATGTGAAATTTATGACCATTTGTTCTAATTCGGTGAAAAATGATGTTGGTATTTTGATGGGAATTGCACTGAATCTGTATGACACTTTGGGTAGCATGGACATTTTAACAATACTGACTATTCCAATCCATGAGCAGGTGCTGCTTTTCCATTTGTTTGTAGTGAACAGCATTATTTCTTTCATCAGTGTTTTGTATTTCTACTTGTGGAGATCTTTCACCTCTTTGGTTAAGTATATTCATTCCTAGTCTGTTTTTTTTTTTTTTTACAGCTATTATAAATGATATTGAGTTCTTGATTTGACTTTCAGCTTCAGTGGGTTTTATTAGCACACAGAAATTCTACTGTTTTGTGTATGTTTATTTTGTATCCTGAGACTTTACTCAATTTGTCAATTCTAGGAGTCTTTTGAACAAGTCTTTAGGATTTTCTAAATATAAGATCATATCATTGGCAAAAAGGGATAATTTGACCTCTTTTAAAATTTGGATGCCCTTTATTTCTCTTGCCTGATTGCTATAGCTAGGACTTCCAATACTATACTGAATAGAAGTGGTGAAGGTAGACTCCTTGTCTTGTTCCAGTTCTTAGGAGGAATGCTTTCAACTTTACCCCACTGAGGATGATGTTGGCTGTGGGTCTGTCATATATGGCTTCTTTTATTTTGAGGTATGTTCCTTCTATGCCGAGTTTTTATTATGAACAGGTGCTGGATTTTACCAAACGCTTTTCCTGTGAGATGATCATACAGTTTTTAATTTTGTTAAATGTGGTGAATCATTTATTGATTTGCGTATGATGAACCATCCTGACATCCCTGGAATGAAACTTACTTGGATCATGGTGAATTGCTTTTTTTTTTTTTTAATGTGCTGTTGGATCTGGTTTGACAGTATTTTGTTGAGGATTTTTACATCTATATGCATGAGAGATATTGGTCCGTAGTTTTATTTTTGTTATGCCCTTTTATTTTGTTATGCCCTTTTTTATTTTGTTATGCCCTTTCTTGGCTTTGGTATCAGGGTGATACTGGTTCACTACTTGATGTTATGGAACAGTTTCAGTAGGACAGGTACCAGTTCTTCTCTGTAGGTCTGGTAGAATTTGGTTGTGAATCCATCTGGTCCTGGGCTTTTTCTTGTTGGAAGATTTTTATTATTAATTCTATCTTGCTATTCATTATTGGTCTGTTTAGGATTCCTATTTCTTCTTGATTCAAGCTTGGGAGGTTGCATGTTTCCAAAAATGTACCCATTTTCCCTAGATTTTCTAGTTTGCATGTATGAAAGTATTCATAGTAGTCTTGGATGTACTTTCATATTTCTGTGGTATCAACTGTAATGTTTGCTTTCTCATTTCTGATTGAGCTTATCTGATTCCTCTCGCTTCTTTTCTTGGTTGATCTAGCTAGTGGTCTATTGATTTTATTTTTTCAAAGAAACAACTTTTTGCTTTGTTGATCCTTTGTTGTTTAGTTATGCTCTGTTATTTCTTGTCTTCTGCTACCTTTGAGTTTGGTTTGATCTTGTTTTGCTAGGTCCTTGAGATGTGACATTAGGTTGTTAATTTGTGACCTTTTGGTCTTTTTGATGTAGGAAGGCATTTAAACTTCTTCTTAGCACTGTTTTTGCTGTATCCCATAGATTTTGGTAGCTTGTGTCATCATTGTCATTCAATGCAAAACATTTTTTTGATTTCCACCTTGATTTTGTTGTCCCAAGGATTGTTCAGACTTCCACCTATTTGTATAGTTTTGAGAGGTACTCTTGGATTTATTTCTAGTTTTATTCTACTGTGGTCTAAGAGAATACATAGTATGATTTTATTTTTTAAAAATTTGCTGAGACTTGTTTTGTGGCTGAACATATGGCCTATCTTGGAAAATGTTTCATGTGCTGATGAGAAGAATGTATATTCTGTAGTTTTAGGGTAGAATGTTCTATAAATGTCTGTTAGGTCCATTTATCCTAGAGTCCCATTTAAGTCCACTGTTTTTTCATTGATTTTCTGCCTCAATGAGCTGTCTAGTTCTGTCAGTAGAGTGCTGAAGTCCCCTTACTATTATTATTAGGTCAAGTATGAAATGTCCAATTTCCTTAAGTACTAAGTTTGACAGTTGATATCTCTGACATTTCACTTTGGCACTGCTAGTTTTATTTTTCTTGTGAAGGTACATCCTCAATCTTTCAAATGCAGGTTTTGGCTTGTGATTATTTTTCATTTTTCTAAGAGCAATTTTTATGAAATCATGGATAAATAAAAATTTGTGTTATTTTTGAATATGAGTTCCATCACGGAACCAATGCAGCGCAAACAGCTCAAAGTATCAATGAAGTGTTTGGGAAGGAGGACACGGCTAAGGAACACAGTACATAGATGGCTTGAGAAGTCCCATTCTGGTAATTTTAATCTTGAAAATGAGCCACATGGGTGACCAGAGACCAAGGTAGATGATGATGGGATGAAAGCTGTAGTGGAAGCAAATCCATCTCAACCTACAAATGAATTAGAAGCAAGGTTTGATGTTGATATTTCAACAATATTGGACCACTTGAAACAAATCAGCAAGATAAAGAAGCTGGATAGATGGGTTCCACATGAATTAAACAAGCATGGGAAGAGAAATCGTCTCAAAGCTTGCCTTTGTTATCATGACATAAACGCAAAACATTTCTACACCATATTGTTACATGTGATTAAAAAGGATTCTTTTTGACAATGGTTGGATAAAGATGAAGTGCTGAAACACAGTCCCAAACCAAATATTCATCAAAAAAAGCTAATGGTGTCTGGTGGTTCAGCGCTGGTATTATGCACGAAAATCTCGTTAAACCTGGTCAATCGATTACAGTGGATGTCTGCTGCAACCAACTGAAAGAAATGATGAGGATGCTTATAATTAAGCAGCCAATATTGGTCAATAGAGACAGGCCAATCCTCTTGCAAGACAATGCTTGACGACGTTGCACAAAAAATGCTGCTCAAACTACAGAAGCTGGATGTGGAACCTCTCTGTCATCTACTGTATTCACTAGCCCTTAGACCAACTGACTACCACTTCTTCCAGGCTTTGGACAATTTCTTACAAGAAAAAATACTCATTTCTCAACAAGCTGTGGAAAATGCCTTTGGTGATTTCATCATCACTAGCTTTCCAGGCTTCTTCACTGCTGGCATAAAAAAGCTACTTGGCAAAACTGTGTTGATACTTCAGGTGCACACTTTGTCAACTGTACTGTTTCTTGTTTGAGATGTATTAATAATAAATTATACTTTTGATTTGAAATCAGACATTTTATATTTGATAACCTTTTGCTGTTTATTTCATTTCTCAGGTATAGGAGTATTTATTTTACGCATCTGTGAGGTCCAGGTTCATAAAACTGTGTTACGTGCATATATATTTAGGATTGTTAAATCTTCTTGTTGAATTGAACTATTTATCATTATATATGACCATCTTTGTCTTTTTTTACTGTTGTTGATTTAAAGTCTATTTTATGCAATATAAGAATAGCTATTCCTGCTTGGTTTCCATTTGTGTGGAATATTTTTTCCTCCTTTACCTTGAGTCTATGAGACTCTTTATGAGTTAAATGAACTTCATGGAGACAACAGATATTTGGGTTGTGTTTTTTAATTCACTCCATCAATCCATCTGTTTTAATTGAAGTATTTACACTGTTTACATTCAGTGTTAATACTGATATGTGAAATACTATCTCAGTCATGTTGATTGTTACCTAGTTGCTTTTTATTCTCCATTGTGTTACTGCTTTATAGGAGCTGTGAGTTTTTACTTTTCAGTGTTTTTACACTGGTGAGTATCAATCATTCTTTTTGGTGTTTAGAGCACTTCTGAGCATTTCTTGTAGGACAGGTCTACTGGTAACAAATTCCCTTAGTGTTTGCTTGTGTGGGAAAAATTTTATTTCTCCTTCATTTATGAAACTTAGTTTTGCAGGATACAAAATTCTTGGCTGATAGTTACTCTGTTTAAGATGACTAAAGACTAAAAATCTTGTAAGATTTTTGCTAAGAAGTTTGCTGTTAGTCTGATGGGTTTTCCTTTGTAAGTTACAAGTCTTACGGGCTTGTAGGATTTTTTTCCCTCACTTTAACTTCGGCCAGACTGATGACCATGTGCTTGATGATGTTAAAACTAAGTATTTCCCTGAGGGGAGCACAGGAAGAAACAATGCCCAGGCCAAATTATGTGGGGTTGGGGGTAGTTGTGTATTAGAGGATGTGGAAAGAATGGAGGATAAGGAAAATTGTTTAACTCCAGTATTCCTAATAGTAAAAAATGTTAGTATGTTAACAGTTACTAATTTTCCTTTTAAAAAAAGACAGAGAGAGAGAGACAGAAAAGCAGGCCAAATAAACTGGTGGTTTATTTGGGTAGTTATTATTAAAATAATTCTGATCTATGGAAATTTTAGGAAAAAATAGAGAAGCAGCCTAGCATTCCTTGGAAAGATTGAAATTTTCTTCAAATTAGTAAAATTTTGCATTTAAGAAGGGAAAATTCAACTTTATTAGTCTCTATATATTTGAAGTTAGTGTAACTTACCTTTCTACCATAAAGACACTGAAAGAAGATTACTCCAACTGACCACACATCAACTTTGTTGGAAATCTTTGGTGGTTCTTTTCCAACTACAAAACACTCAGGAGGTAAATACCTATAGTATTGGGGGGGGGAGGGGAAAGTGAAAGGTTACTACTGACAATATATAACTTAAAACCTTCTAAATGTAAAATCTTGGGACACTCATTTCACATATATATATATGTATGAACTTTAGGACTTTCATCAATTAAAACCATCAATTAAATTTCTGAAGCATTTATATTCTTTTATCATTTAACTTGAGCCAAAATGTACAAACTTATGATAAAATATATCTATAAATATATATCTACAGAAACAAAAAACTACCATTAGAGATTACAATGGTCTAATGTAAGTAAGTACCTAATTAGGTATAAGAATTCCTCTCCTATCTCCCTTAACCAGAGTTCAAAAGGCAGGCAGTTCTTTCTAAAATATACATTTGATCATGTAGTTCTGTTGTTTAAACAACCTCAACAGCACTTACTGCCAGTAAGACCTCATACCTCCTGTTTGTTAACACAAGACCCATCCTAATCTAGCAACCACAAACATCTCTAAAATCTGCCCTATTTTTCCCACCCAAATCCCCCAAATCAGCTGGTCAAAACCAATTCTCTTGCTTTCCCAGATTGCTCTCCTTTTTCCTCTGTGCTTTTGAATATGACAATCTCTAATGGCTTCTCTAATCACTCCAATTCTCTTGGTGAGCATCTTTTCTTCTTCAAGACCCACTTCCTCCATAAGCCATGCTTCTCATGTTCCCACAGGACAGTGTGGTGCCCCTATAATGACATTAAACTATAATCATAGTAGACTGGGAGCAGCTATTCATTCTGCAGTTTCAAGAACTAGGACTACCTGAAATACCCTGAGTATTCAAAATTACTATTTTTAAAATTTCTAAGTGCTATTTTTAAGTTTATAATTTTTTGATAAAGGATAAAAATAAATTTGTCATCTCAGGTTATAAATAAAATGATCCATCCCAAATGCAACCATCTCATACCTCAAAAGTTTAAATAAATAGGGCCGGGCGTGGTAGTCATGCCTGTAATCCTAGCACTCTGGGAGCCCTAAGCGGGAAGATTGCTTGAGGTCAGGAGTTCGAGACCAGCCTGAGTAAGAGCAAGACCCCGCCTCTACTAAAAATAGAAACAATTAGCCGGCCGTGGTGATGTGTGCCTGTAGTCCCAGCTACTCAGAAGGCTGAGGCAGGAGGATTGCTTAAACCCAGCAGTTTGAGGTTGCTGTGAGGTAGGCTGATGCCATAGCATTCTCCCTAGGTGACAGAGCAAGACTCTTGTCTCAAAAATAAAAAATTTTAAATAAACAAAAAATCCTGGAAAAGAATAATGCAGCTAAATGGGAATCTACTCTTTTTCTAAAAATTCAGTTTTGTGCTATTTTAAAATTACTGAGATTTGAGCAAGATGTTGACAAATCTCTTAAAAACCCACATGAAATTTCCTTGAAGTAAACCACTAAAGATGACCAATAACTCATTTGTGATACAAATCCTTTACTACTCCCTGAATCAGCTAAAAAGCTGGATTTGTTTTTATCAGTAAAAGTGTCTATTTTGTGTAGGTGTAGGTTAATGTATGTATATAAGAAACAAGAGGGGCTCTTAAATACTATGCTATACTGTCTCGCTAGGCAGAAGGGTGTAAGCAAGGAGAGCAACTGTAGGAAGAGATACAGCAAAGTCATTTGGGAAAAAATGTCCACCAAGATTTAGTGAATGACTGCATTTAGACTGGAGTAGAGGGAGACAAAAGTGATATTGATATTTTTTTTATATTTTTTCCTAAGTATATATTTTTTATATATTTTTTCCTAAGTGATATTGATAAATATTTTAAGTTTCTGGGGATAAAAGGTAATTTATAAAAGCAATATATATGTATATTCTATAGTATGAATACAGCTGCCCCAGTATACCAAACAGAGCTGACACATAACAATGTGGGGATTAGGGAACCGAACTCCTGCACAGTTGAAAATCAACATGTAACTTTTGACTGCCCCAAAAACTTAACTAGTAATAGCCTACTGTTGACTGGAAGCCTTACTGATAACAATAACGATCGATTAACACATCTTGTATATGTATTACATAATGTATTCTTACAATAAAGCTAGCTAAAGAAATTATTAAGAAAATCATACAGAAAAGAAAATATGTTTACTATTCCTTAAGTGGAAGTGGATCATCATAAAGGTCTTCATCCTCATCATCTTCAGATTGAGTAGGCAGAGGAGAAAGAGGAAAGGTTGGTCTTGCTGTGTCAGGGATAGCAGAGGCAGAGGAAGGAGAGACAGGATAGGCAGGCACACGTGGTGTAACTTTGCAAAATAGGTCATAATTTCTGTCTGGCTTTTTTGTTTCTCTAAAAATATTTTTATATGATACCAACCCTTCTTCCACCATTTGCTTTACTTTCAGAGCTTGTGCCATAGAAAGATCTAAGTTGTAAGAGAGGTCAAAAGCCATCCTGAACAATCAGAACCCTTCTGCCAGGTTGTCTAATGTCAATTTTTTTCTCGCACTTCTTCTTCTATGTTGTCTTCCTCATTGTATGGCACTAGTTCCAAAGCACTCATCTACATAAAGTCATCTTCTGTTCATTCCTCTGGTGCAGCGTCTATTAGCTCTTGAATTTCTTGAAGACCCAAATCTTGAAACCCTTCACTCCCTCCCCACCTTTTTTGCCATATCCATAATCTCCTTCATAATTTCCTTGATTGGCACCTGTCATAAATCCTGTGAAGTCACGCACAACATTTGGCAGGAACTTACTGTTTCAGGCTTAATGGCTTTCATGGCTTTTTCTATAACAATGGCACCTTTAATGGTGTAATACTTTCAGACTTTCATGACGTTCTCTCTACTGGGGTTCTCTTCCATAACATTGACAATCTTTTCCATACAGTATGAGATGTGTAATGAGCCTTAAAGGTCCTCATGACCCCCTGATCTAGAGGGTGATTTAGAGACACTGTGTTTGGGGCAAGCAGATCACTTTGACACCTTCAGTGTTGAACTCACGAGGGTTCTGGGTGGCCAAGGGTATTGTCTAAAATCTCGAGAACATTAAAAGGTAGTCCCTTACTGTTTTTTTCTGACTTCAGGGACAAAGCATCAATGGAACCAATCCAGAAAAAGGGTTCTTGTTGTCCAACCCTCCTTGTACAACCAATTTTTCTCTTTTTCCTTTGAGGCCTGAAGGTTAGCAGCTTTACAGATGAGGGCAGTCCTAATTATAAGCCCGATTCCATTTGCACAAAACAGTTGAGTTAGCCTATTCTTTCATGTCTTAAATCCTGGTGCTTGCTTTTCTTCCTTACTAATAAATGTCCTTTGCGGCTTTTTCTCCCCCCCCCAACATAGGGTACTTTTGTCTGTGTTAAAAAAACCATTCAGGCAGAAAGATTTTCTCCTCAATGTTTTTATTAATGGCATCTGGGGACTCTTCTGCTGCCTCTTGGTCAGCAGAAGCCACTTCTACTGTCATCTTGACATTTTTAAGCCTTTTAAGTCAAACCTCTTTCTAAAATTATCAAACCATCCTTTGCTGGCATTAAATTCTCCAGCTGTAGATCCTTTATCTTCCTTTTGTCATACAATGACTTCACTTTTTCTCAAATCACATTATAGTCTATAGGTATACCTTTCTTATAGCAATCCTGCACCCACATAATAGCTGTGCTTTCAAGAGATGGTAATAGGGCATTTCACAAGAATTACAAGGATTCCACACCTGCTGGTATAGCTAGTGACAGCTTCACAAATTTCCCTTTCTTTTTTCACAGTGGTCCTTCTGCTGGATTTACTCATCTTGAAATGGTGGGCAGCCACAGCTGTAAACCTCAATATACAGTACATAGCAAGCAAGTCGACTTTTTCTTTCTTTATTTTTCATTTTTTGAGATAGGGTCTTGTTCTGTTGCTCGGGCTAGAGTGCAGTGGCATGATGACAGCTCACTGCAACCTCAAATTCCTGGGCTCAAGCAAACCATCTGCTTCAGCCTCCCAAGTAGCTGGGACTACAGGCATGCACCATCATGCCCGCCTAATTTTTTCTATTTTTAGTAGAGACAGAGTCTTTCTCTTGCTCAGATTGGGCTTGAACTCCCAACCTCAGGCAATCCTCCCGCCTTACGCTCCCCTACAGTGCTAGGATTACAAGCATGAGCCACCTTGCCCAGCCTTTTTCTTATAATGTCATGACTTTTCTCTGCTTCTTGGGAGCACTTCCAGCATCACTAAGTGTTATTCAAGGTTTGTAGTATTGCACTAACCATGATGGAAAATATGTGAGCACCATAAGAGATCACTTGTTACTATAATATGCAATTTATTGGAGAAATGAACTGCTCACCCAGAGGTGATTAGCATCACATGGCATTTTAAGCAGACACTTTACAACACTTGAGCTCACCACAACAGCAACAACAGGTGGCTATGAAATTATTACAGTAGTACAGTATGTACTAAAGTTAATTTTATGCAATTATGATTTAATCATGTATCTTTATGTTTGTTTACATTTCTCCTGATTACAAATGGCACCATGTATGATCTCTGTGTGTGTATACATCTTAATAAAATTTTATGTTTTTATAATAGGTTGACATATATTTTATGGTAGTAAATAATAAAACAGACTTCTACCTACATATATTTTATGCATTGATGACATACCTTTTTCTTAATTTTTTTCAATATTTTTAGGCTATGTAGTTCATCTGCAAGTTTTTTCAAATTGTCACAAGTCTCCAAAAAATATTCCAATGTACTTACTGAAAAAAATCCAAATATAAGTGCCACGCAGTTCACCAGTGTTGTTCAAGGGTCAACTGTACATAGATAGCTAAGCAAATAATATGACTAGTAGAAAATAGTAGTAGAAACTAGGAGAAACTGGTTTTTGGAACACTGTTTCTATGGGAAATACATTCCATATTCCTACATAACAATGCCATTACTATCTCCTTCCTGCATAGCCCCTAAAACTTAAGTTTCTCCATCTCTTGCCTACCTATAAGAGGGAAATTTCCTTGTGCTACCTTATACTAGAGTGAAGCCAGGGTAAGGGAAACAAATAATAAGAATGCCCTGCAGAGGAGGAATGATGTCTTATTTAGAACCTGGCTTTTAAGTTGTATTCCATGGAGTCCTGGGTTCCACCAAGCAGCTTTGTTTTTGTTGGTTTCGTTGTTATATTACCCATATTCCTTGGAAATGCCATAAGAAAAATCTGAAACTTTAAAATGGTTTTAAAAGAATACATAAACATGACTAATAATCCCTGTTTGTGAAAAGTAAAATCTATACAGACCAGTGGCATCTTGTGAAACTGGTTACTAACTGTGTGAAGACTATTCTGGTACCCTAAAGTCACATTTATGTTTATAGTCACAATCCTGTTCAATGTAGTTGAGTACAATTATTTCTCTTCTTGCTAAACTAATTTATTCTGAGAACTAAGTTTGTTTTGAAATTTTATAGTCTATGTTCCTCACTTTGGTGAATTTGACAATAAGTGTGAAAAGTCACAATGAAGTAGTTTTTGTCAACACCTAGGTACTCTGAAAGACGGTATTCATTTAGATTTATATCTATGAATCTATGACTCTATTTAGATTTGTATCTATATGTATAAAGTCTTTAAAAGGGATTTTTGAAAGTAAAGTCCAAAGACCAAGAATATTCCAAATTTATCTCCCATCCACAATCAATAAAACATTAATCTCCCACAAAAAACGGCAACCATAAAACCTCTAGAGGGCTTTGTTCTTTTGAGTTAGGGTCTTGCTCTGTCACCCATGCTGGAGTGCGGTGGCACAATCATAGCTCAGTGCAACTTCATAGCTCACCGCAACCTCCAACTCCCCAGCTCAAGCAATCTTCCTATCTCAGCCTCCAGAATAGCTAGGAGTAAAGGTATATTCTACCACATTCAGCTAATTTTTTCTCTTATTTTTTGTAGAGATGTGGTCTCACTATGTTTTCCAGGCTGGTCTCAAACTCTTGGCCTCAAGTGATTCTCCTGCCTTGGCCTCCTGAAATGCTGAGATTACAGGTGTTGGCCAACATGCCAGGCCCCAGAGAGGGCTTGATATTTACAGGTTTTGTTTCTAATAGTTAAGAAATTATATTTACATAAATATTTATGTTCATGATAAATATCATCCTAAAATTCATAAATTCTCTATGTTAGGTTAGGAGTTTGTGACTAGTGGATACTGGAGTCACTTGCTAATACCAAGTCATTCTCTCTCCAGTATGTTATATTTGCAGTTAAGAACAGAAAAGAAAAGAGGATTGACCACAATAATCTCCCTCTCAACTCAGAGGCTTAATAATCAGTGCCTTCACCACAGTAATCTCAAAGGCTACATGAAAATAAAAACTAAATTCTCATAAAAACACTAGGCATTAATCTAGATAATTTTGCTACTTTAAATAATACATTTACCAGTAAGTGCCTGCCCCTTGGGAAGTTAGATCCATTCCATCTACACCATAGCTATCATCATCCATAATCTTGGACAGACCAAAATCAGTGATTTTGATTTCTCCACATGCTGTTCCATCTACCAGAAGGATGTTTCCTAAGAACAAGATATAGGATTCTTTTAATGATGTATATATGAAAACATTATCTTTACTACTTTAACTTTTGGGAAGTAAACATATTTAAAATGTGGTGATACAATAAAAACATTTAATTTTACTAGTATTCTGCTGAAGTTTTAAAAATTAAACAAAAAAGCATGCTTTCAGATAACTTAATGAATATAACTTCTACAAACTATACTCTTTTGAGCTTAAAAAATTATTAGACACATTTCATTAATTACCTGGCTTAAGATCATAATGTATAATAGGGGGTTTGATCTCATTGAGATATCTTAGTGCATTTACAATCTGCATGACAATAGACCTAGCTTCTTTCTCTGACATTAATTTGTGTTGCTTCAGATAGAAATCCAAGTCATTGCCTTCACAGTATTCCAACACTGTGCAAAACCTGCAATGGATAAGAGAAAAAAATTAGACATAATATTATCCAGTAATTCAGAATCACAATGGGGAGATGGAGAGTTTTATATCATCATCATAGAATAGGCAAAGCAAAATCAAACATATCTTTCTTAAAAACTAAATCCTTATATTCACTTACGTATCTGTATCCAAGGAGAAATAATCATATAGTTTAACTATTCTGGGGTGATCCAGTTCTTTGTGTATTCTGTACTCTCTGCAGGCATGTCTATGGGGAGAGAGTATATTAATTCTCCAAGACCATCTAAAAAATTTTCAATTTATAAAAACCATAAAGTATTAATATTTACTTGTGGTAGTTTTCTTTTTTCTCATCTCTCCAACTTTTATTAAGTTGATGTATCTTCACAGCAGCATATCTTTGTTCATAAAGGTCAAAAGCCTAAGATTCAAGGCAAGAAAAAGTTATAACCAAAGATCAAGTGAATAGCTGGAGAGATTTTTTAAAATTTTGGTGATAATTTTTACAATAATATCGAATTAGTATAAACACTACAGTCTTTAGTGATCATCTCTGCTAAGACTATATATAGTTCAATGACACCTTTATTATCAGAAATCAGATACAAATTCCATGGTGATAAATTAACAAAAACCTTAATGTGCATTTTCACATTCAAGTTTTATAAATGCTAATATATTGAATCAAAATAAAACAATAAAGCTAGTATTTGTTTTTAATATGGATCTGATTCTCTATACTGGCAGTAGCACAGTAAACAGTCAGGAAAACAGATGGCCGTATTGTTTTTTTTATGGGTTGGAAAAAACAAACCTCCTTAATCTATCTTTTCCTAGCAACCCCCTTATTTCTTCTTCACTTTTTTGAAAATTAACAAGTTCCTAATAATTTTCCAACTGTTGAGAAAAATTCTACACCATTATGAAACTGTCCAAACACATACAAAAGTAAAATGTGCCCTTGTTTCAAAATTTTTCAAGTTTCAAAATTTATCAATATTTTGCCATTCTTATTTCATCTACTTCCTACTACCCATCTACTTTTTACTTCTCCCATAGAGTGTTTTAAAACAAATCCCAGACAATGTATCATTTCGCCTGTAAATTTTTCACTATGTATCTCTAAGAGATAAGGGTTTTAAATAAAATAACCATGCATCATTAACACACCTAATGATATCAATAGCAACTCCTTAATCTCATCTAATACCTATCTTCTTTTCCCTGGTTGTAAAAAAAAAAAGGATTTATAATTGATTTATTCAAATCAACAGCCTATTACTTAAATTAAAAACACAGAATGATCAGTACTTGAAGGCTTCACATGACTTATAAATGTTTTTTAAAAACACTGAATACCATTAAAGAGATTAATACTGTAGGTTCCACTGTAATTTATATACAAAAGTGCTCCTTTCAAAAAACCACTTAAAAGCTTATATACTTATTAGAAAGAAATTCCCCAGTCCCCATTCCCTGCCATCAATTTAACCTAAAAATAAGCAGTAGAGGAAACACAGTAAAGTGACTACTTTTTGTTACAAAATTGTAAAGTATAAGATCAGACATTATATAGGATGCAGTAGTTAAGAATATTCTCTTTGGAGTCAGATGAACTTATCAGCTGAGTGACTCTGGGCTAATAATCTTATAAAGTTAGAGTTATTGAGAGGATTAAATGGGGAAAAACATATGAAGTGCTTAGAATAATACATGCTTCATAATAAATATTCAATAAACATTAGCTAATTTCATTATCAGTAAGAGGTTAAGGTTAAGTTTAATAAAAAAGAATAAAAATAAGAGTAGTTTATGTAAGGGAAAATAAAAAAGACTTACAAAGAATAAAATTCTTTATAATTCTTATTATGACTGAATCATAATAAAGGATAATCAAAGAAAAATTATAAGTACACTACTAAAAAGCTAATTATCAGTATGTACTGATTATAACAAATAATATATAATACTTCTTCCAAGATTAGGTGAGTTGGGGTAATAGCTTTCAATAAGGCTAATATGGTAATCATTCAGCAACTGACTTAAAATCTTCTACTTTGGTACAAGGTAGTCTTTATTTCTTGCCTTATTATCTGCTTTTGTTTCCCAATGGACATGGCGACCATGAAAGGGTTTTAATGGGGTTAGAAAGAGATGTTGCTGGTATTTAGGTCAGTATAGAAAGTTCAAGTCACTGGGCCTCAATCTACATTTTCTAATTTCTGTTTAAGACTTTTCTATAAAAGTCCCATATGTAGGGCTAACAATAGTTGAAATACTACCGGGCAGTGGCAGAGGGCTGTCACAAAAGCTCAAGACAGGTTCATAATAAGCTGGGCAACTTTTAGGCTATGCTAATACCAACTGTATTTTATGATGTTTTAGATCCAAGTTAGTTATTTTTAGATTCAAATTGAACTGTTATGATCATCTTTTCTATCTTGTGGCCTGGATAAGCCTTCAACCATTCAGCGCTTGAAGATGAACAACCATTAGAATCAGAGAAACAGGAATTGGAAGAAAGCTCAAAGATCATTCTTGATGACTGAGGAAGGCAAATCCCATGATGTTTAATGCTTGTCCAAGTTAACAAAACAACAAACAATATTAATAGTTCATGGTTAAATGGAGATCAGAATTGAAGTTCTCTGAATCTAAATCCCGCAATTTTCCCCCGAGTCAGAACTAGAACCCAGGTTGCCTTCGGTAAACCAGAAAGGCACAGTTCTTGCCTCATTGAACAGGGAGGATTTCTAATAATAGTAATAATTTTATTAGCTTGTATTTACTAAATACCAATATTCTACATGATTTACATGAGATAACTCAGTTTACCACTGCAACAAACCTATAATGAAAGTATTATTATTATTCCCAGAAGGAGACAATGAGGCAGAGTTTTAAGTAATAAGCTCAAGTTTATACAGGTAGTAAATGGCAGTCAGGATTTAAACCCAGTTGTCTGGCTTCAGAATCAAAGCTCTTAACCACTAACTATACCGATATGTAATGAAGCACAAAGAAATACAAGAAGCTTATAAAAGGCAGACCAAATCTGATCTAAGGAGATGCAGAGGGTCAGGGAGGCCTTCTAGAGGAAAATGAAGTTTAAGCTGAGAGCATAACCTTCACCCAGACTTCACCCTAACAGCAAATGGGAAGCTACTGGGGCTTTTAAGCAGGAGAGATGATCAGATTGCCTTTTATAAAAATGTTAGTCTAGTTGCAGTGTACAAAATGCACTGGAAAAACAGAGGACAAGGGTCATCACTGGATTTAGGAGAACTTAATTAATGACAATAACAGCAGCAACCAGGGGAAGGGAACTAAGAGATAGGAAAAGCAAAGGATGGTTTTTATGTTTTTCACTCACTCAAGGGACCAGGCAGATAAACAGCAACAGTACATACTGAAGTAGGAAACAATGTTATGAAAAAGGATTTTGGAGAAGATAACTTTTATTTCAGACATACGTCTGCAGTGCCCATGAAGCACCCACATAAAAGGAATAAACTGCCACATACACAAACACTCTCAGGTATGGAGCTCCGAAAGAAAGTATAGGCTAGATTTATAAATCTAGGGGTGAAATCAAACAGATGATAACTCAGTGAAAGACGGGGATAACAATCTTTTAAAGGGAAAATACAGAACGGTAAAATAGACCTTAGGAACCCTATTACTTAAAGGTTGGACTGAAAGATACACTGTAAAGTTAAAAAAAAAAAAAAAACAGGGCCGGGCACGGTGGCTCACACCTGTAATCCTACCACTCTCGTGAGGGTGAGGCAGGTGGGTGGATTGTTTGAGCTCAGGAGTTCAAGACCAGTCTGAACAAGGGCAAGACCCTGTCTCCACTAAAAATAGAAAGAAATTAGCTGGACAACAAAAAATATATAGAAAAAATTAGCCTGGCTTGGTGGCTCATGCCTGTAGTCCCAGCTACTCTGGAGGCTGAGACAGAAGGATTGCTTGAGCCCAGGAGTATGAGATTGCTGTAAGCTAGGCCGACACCACGGCACTCTAGCCTAAGCAACAGAGCCAGACTCTGTCTCAAAAAAAAGAAAAAAAAGACAAAATAGTGAATATGGTTAGTAAAAATGCCTACATTTAGACATAGGCATTTGAGAAACAATGGCCTTAAAACAAGTAGAAATTTGGATAAATTCAGGACATGTTAAACTCAGACACATGTTTAAATTAAAGGACACAATCTTTCCATAAATGTAGTATATTAAATGGCTACCTGCCTATCTTGATTCAAATGGTTGCTATTATTTGTATCAGACTGGCTAACGGTGACTAGGTACCAAATATCAGAGGGACTGTACAAGTGGCAAGGACAGTCTTTAGTCTCTAGAGATTACATACATCACAACAAACCCTTTTTTGTAATTAGAGGACATAAAATCAGTCATAAGATCAATAAACAAAAGACAACTTCTTAACTGCATATTTCTATATCTTTGTTATATTAAAGAACAGAATAAAATTTACATTACCTTATATACTTCGCTAAAGCCACCTCTACCAAGCAGATGAAGTAATAAATATCTTTCATTTAACGTTGGATGATCTTTGAACCTTAAGGGTGAGAAAAAAACACTCAGGCACATTAAAAGACACACAAAAAAGTTCCTTCTACATTAAAGTTCTACTTTCTTATTATACCTCTAGCCATTTCTTTCTCATTTACACTACTGCTAATTTCAAATTCCATTCAGTATTTCTTTTAACTTTCTACCAGTTTGCCTGCATGACTATCACCTACCTTAAGGCCTTGGTGCTCACAAAGCTTAACTTTTATAGCTGAATATTCAGGTTCAAAGACCAATTATAGCACTCACATAATGACCTAATAATCGCTATATTGCCAAAAGCTTTATAGAACCCTTTATCTACTCAGTAGCAAATACTTCTCTCAGAAAAATATACTTTTATATAGGAAGTTATGATTAATCAAGATTTTATAGTATTGACATAAGATTAAAAATAGTTATATTTTATAGCAGACCAGTATTGAAAACAAAAGAATAAGAGAAAAAAGGAAAGATTATAAAATTTATATAAAAGATAAATGATTAATTTTAATTAAAAAATTTTATTAAGAATAGTTATATTTATAAATAAGCCTTCACTGATAAGATTACATTTTACTGTCTCTGGACTTCTATAAAATAAAATTTTAGGCCGGGCGCGGTGGCTCACGCCTGTAATCCTAGCACTCTGGGAGGCCGAGGCGGGCGGATTGCTCGAGGTTGGGAGTTCGAAACCATCCTGAGCGAGACCCAGTCTCTACTAAAAATAGAAAGAAATTAATTGACCAACTAAAAATATATATACAAAAAACTAGCCGGGCATGGTGGCACATGCCTGTAGTCCCAGCTACTTGGGAGGGTGAGGCAGGAGGATCGTTTGAGCCCAGGAGTTTGAGGTTGCTGTGAGCTAGGCTGACGCCACGGCACTCACTCTAGCCTGGGCAACACAGTGAGACTCTGTCTCAAAAAAAAAAAATAAATAAATAAAAAATAAAATTTTAACCACCAACTTTAAAAGTAAAGATTTTTAAAACCTTTTAAAAAAAAATCACTCACAGATAATACTACCACTATTACTATTTAACATTTAATTTACTTGCTATATACAGGTTGAGCATCTCTTATTTGAAACGGTTGGGACCAGAAGTGTTTTGGATTTTTTTTTTTTTTATTTTGGAATATTCACATTCTACTTACCTACTGAGCATCCCTAATCTGAAAATCCAAAATCTGAAATGCTAAATAAGCATTTCTTTTGAGCATCATGTCAGTGCTCAAAATGTTTTAAATTTTGGAGTTCAGACTCTGGATTTCCAGAATCAGGATGTTCAACTTGTATTAAGCACTTACATGTATTAACTCATTTAGTTCTCAACCAACCCTATGAAGTAGGCTCTATGTCTATTTTACAGATGAAGGCACTGCTGTACAGAGAGAGGTTAAGTAACTTGCTTAATTGCTAATATATAGCAGAGATTAACAGAAAAATGTGGTTCCAAAATGTATAATTTCAAAATTAAAAAGAAGTCAATAGTTTTATGATTCCTGATGCAAATACATTATATTTTGTTATTTTATTTAAAATTAATTGACTATAGATTTGATAATTTAAGCTTTCTTGACAAATTTATAAATAAAAGAGATTTCTGCTTAGTTTCAAGCCAAACTGCAAAGCTTAATAATTCACTTTATTTTCATCAATCTAAATCAGATGCACAAAGTTTGAACATAATTTTCAGAACAGTTAATTTTAGTTTTGTTCCATCTGCTTTACTAGAATTTTAATCTGACACAATTTAGATTATTCCATAACTATATAATTTCATTCACCTCATACACTGGAAAAATCTGTATATTATGAATTACATATACATAGAAAATCATGAACAGGCCTTCTGCTGAGTAGGATATTCATATTTCACAAAAGAAATTGGTCATTTCCAGTTTTGATACTCATATGAAGTCATGAAGCTTTAAATTACATGAATAGTCTTAAAGTGTACACAGACACCCTTCATCATGCTTTCTTTTAAATTAGAAAAAAAAAATATATATTTTTTATAGCGACAGGGTCTTGTTACATTGCCCAGCTGGTCTCAAACTATTGGCCTCAAGTCATCCTCCTGCCTTGGCCTCCTAAAGTGCTGGGATTATAGGCATGAGCCACTGATTATAGGCCCCTTCCCCTCTTTTACATTAAAGCCAAGTAGTACCTTGCTTAATTTCTATTCCTATCTTCTTGCTCAATTTCTACTTTCTTTATGGAGCTTCCATAAGCTCACAGATATTTTCTCTTCTTTGATAAGTAGGAATTAAGAATAGAGATTATAACTTATACTTCTTTTCCATTTTCTTCTCAAATGCTTACATAATGCTAAAGACATGACTCACTGAAATACCTTTAATATACATAACTTCTTTACTACTATTAACATTAACTTTAGTATTCAGTTACAAATATTTATGAAGTTCCTATCATGTGCCAGGCACTGGTCTAGGCTCTGGAAATACAGAAAGAACAAAATGAAGCCCTTGTTCTCATGAAGCTTACATTCTAGTGGGGAAAAGACAGATTATAACTTAAAAATAAATGAATAATTCCAGATAGTGATAAATACTACGAAAAAAAAAAGCAAGATAAGGATATTAAAAGAGGAAATGGATTGAAGCAGGCATTGCCATTTTACATAGGGTGGCCTAAGGATGGCCTCTCTAATGAACACTTGGAGTGAAATAAGGAATAAGCCACTCAGATATTTAAAGGAGAAACATTTTAGGCAGAGGCGATGGCAAGCACAAAAGCCCAGCGTGGAGGGTGAGGTGGCCAGAGCCCAGATCACAAAAAGCCCTGCAAGCCATGGCAGAACTTTGGATCTTTTCTATGTATGTCTGATGAGACACCCCAACAAGGAAATACTGTTTATGTTCTCTACGAAGGGGGAGGACTTTAATTATATGAAACTGTGAAATACAAATAATGACTTACTGCGAATTATCTTCATTGTTTATTCTTTTGAGCTCCCGTATATGAAGATTTCTGACTCTTTCCAAACGTTCAAGCTCTGCCTGGATTTCTGCCTCTTCCTGAAAATGAAGAGAGGGGACTATAACAAGCTCAATTTATTTCTGATATAAAAAAAGATATTTTTACCCATGCATCAATTTTTTACAGTGATGGAAAGAATAGTATTATAAAGTACCACTGAGTTAAAAGACCAAGTGCTCTTTTCAATGCCTGAAAGATGGAAAGAGATAAGGCAAAAAGCCTATTTCAAGAAACCATCCTCCACATAAAAATCTATCTACTCTTAATGAGATGCTGGGCTTTATTCTTTTATACAAGAAATCTATTTTTATAATGTCTATATTGCAAGTGACTTGCAAGGTAGCTGGAAACTGACTTAAAACACAAAAAGCTGAAAATTTTATTTCTGGTCCACCCAAATTTTAATTTAAGAGGGAATAATTTATTAGTTCAAAATAGATAAAATGAAAAAATTTTTTACAATAATTAAAAGAGGAAGAAAGGAAGAAGACAGAACTAATTATTCCTAGATCTTACAGTACAAATACACATACATAACCTCACCATTCATTTTGAGTAAATCCTACTTCAACGCTAAAGAGACATTATGACAAAAAATTTATGGATTGCTGTGGCAGACCCTCAGTTATCAGAAAAGATATAAACAAATCCTAAAGAAATTTAACATACAAATTTTGATAGATACATTTTTGAGTTATACAACTTATAGAACATTTTAAAACTAGACACTAAAACAAATAAGCAAACATATCACCCATGTCTTATACCCACCCCCTTTGTCAAACAAATTTGAATACTACTTAATGGATAAGAATATGCCTAATTTCAGCAAAAATTTCTAGAAATGCTCGATTGTAGAGTATTTTTGAATACATATTTGTTGAATAAATAAATACAGGTTCCTTTGGCCTAAATGTGTACCCAGTATAATTATAAATCTAGAACACACTGAACAGAGGTTATTTCTGAATACTACCATTTAAATATTCCTCTATTTCATTAGTTCCTTTGCTTTTTTCCTAGTAATTTATTTTTTGATATCAAAAAATTCTCCTTTACCTCAAAGAAAATTAGTAATTCTGAAATTTACTTTGAAAATATAAATATATTCATTTCATTAGAAGATAGATCATAGAGGTACAAAGTCTATTACACATATACCTAAAATACATATTGAAAGGAAAATTTTAAGTATTTTAGAAAAAACAAACTAAATCTTTACAGATTAAAAAATTAAATTTAAAATATTTTTATTATTTGAAAATGAAATTCAACCACTACTTGTTGTAAAGATATTTAATGTAGATTAGTTATTACATGGCAAATAGAAAATTCAAAATAAGTGAAGATAAACTTTCCTAGAATTTTTGGGAGATTTTTCTGAAATAGATACATGAAATAGACTACCTTAATTTAACTGAAATCTCATCATTACAGCAGTCACAAATATTTTTAGTCTTAATGTAAAAAAAGAAAAAAAGGTGATATCCTAGATTAATAATCAAAGATTCATTACATGAACAGGAAATAAATTTAAAAGTGTAGGAACAATAAGCTCAAAACACAGCTTAGTTGTCTTAATTTAGTCATATAGAGTAAGAAACTGGTCATACAAGTATGCCTAGGAGTATGAAAGAATTTAAATTTATTTACACTACAGAATCTAGAAAGCAGTAACTTTTTCTCTTTGTTTGCTGCTTTAAAAATTGCATTAATGTGATTCTCACACATGTAGGAAGCTACTAAACATTTGGTAGGCTGGTAAAATTTTAAATAATCTGATAAAATTATGAAAAGCCTATTAGAATACTAGCTAAAATACTTGCTTCAACTTTTATTTGAAATTATGGCATGGAGTGAATTATTCAACAGTGAATTTACAGAAGTTAAATTTTATTGAGTCATAAATATATAATTACAAGCTTCAGCTAGGTTGTTGCACATAATTACATTTGTTTTATAATCTTCAGACGTCTATACAATGGAAGTAATCAATATCGCAAAATAAATACTTGTTAAAGATTAAAGCAAGTGCTTTCCCCCTCTATAAAACATGACAAATATGTCCCATAAAATCTTACAAAATAAAAGCACAGGCAAGCTTCATTTAGCTTGAATTGTTACGTTTACTGGAAAAAACAAAATGTCAGTACTACAAGGGGAAAAAAGATGGATTCTGGGTACTTAAATGGAAATGTCAAGGGAAGGAATCCTAAGTAAGTCTTATAGACATACAAATAGACAAAAATCTACCATAGTCAGTGAAATATACTACATCTTTCTTCTTGTAACTCAATATTTCATGATATCTTGGACCTTAAAGTGACTCACTTCTATGAGAAAGATAATTTTGCAACACTTAAAATTCCACTGAGAGTAAGTATACACACTGCTATGGAATGAATGTGTTCCCCCAAATTCATATATTGAAGTTCTAATCCCTCAATATGATGGCATTTGGAGATGAGGTCTTTGGGAGGTAATTACAGTGAGATTAAGTCATGAGGATGGGGCCCGCATGATGAGATTAGAGGCCTTACAAGAAGACGAATCCCCACCCCCATCCAGGAGCACAAAGAAAAGGCCATGTGAGGACAAAATGAGAAGGTAGCCATATGCAAGCCAGGAAGAGAGATCTCACTAGAAAATGAACACTAAACTGGGATTTCTACAGTCTAGAACTATGAAAAAGTAAATTTCTGTTGTTTAAGTAATGCAATCTGATAGTTTGTTACAGCAGCCTGAGCAGCCTAACAAACATACTTGCAGGCAAATGCTAGGGCAATACTGTCTAGTACCCTCTCCTCATAGAAAGGGGCGAGGCTCAGTTTGGGTTGGGTCCCAAGGTATAATAGTCTAGAATAGAGTAGTCTCAACAAGTAATTTATTTTTGGTACAAATAATTTCCAAAGATCTATTCTGTAGGATACACTTTCTTTGCTTGAGATTGACATTAACCTCTGGACCGTCCTCAGGAATTAATCTTTTTCCAAGCATTCAGGAGAAAAGATGATGTGGGCTCACAACTGATCTGAATTCATCATAGAATGGAATCCTCAAACTCATGGCAAAACTAGGCCGGATTAGTAGAAAGAAAGAGAGACAATCTAATCAGCTAAATTGTACTTAGTAAGAATACAAGGTTTCAATTCTGGATTCATCCACTAAACAGAGCAGTTGATTAAAGCAGAGAAAATCTAGAAGAAACAGAGACAAATAGCATCTGGAAATAGACACCTCTGATGTCTGTTGGCTATTACAATGCAGAAGGGACATGAATAAGTATGATTGTATTAAAGAGAGAGGTAGCTCTGGTGATCGAATATACAATAAAGGACATGGCTCTCCTGTTTTTTTAAAAAAAGATACAATAGACAATTTAACAGTATACACTACAGCTGTCTTAACAATATTATAAAACAAGCTCTAATATTCTGAATTACTTATATAAAAAACCAAATCATACAAGTATACAACAACAGATCTCAATATTGTCTCACTGTTTAATTAACCTGCAAAAATACTACCTTCCAACAGTTCTAATTTTTAAAGATTTATATGGAAGATAAATTCCATATCGACTTAACCAGAAGAGTTTGTCCACCACCAAATCTTCAGCATAGAAATACTTTCTATTTGTAATCAAAGTCTCTTCTGGCAACTTAATATCCCCTTGGCTCAATTCTCTAAACCAATAGTAAGTTATAGCAATGTGAAATTTCTGTAAAATTCCAGGTTAATTTGGATTTAGCTGGATTTGAAGTATTCTTGAACATTTCTCATAATGGCAATTTTTCAAAAGGCAATTATTAAAAGAAAGGTGGAGTGTGTTGGTAGGTATTAAAGCTACAAAGCATAAGGGATTATAAAATGCATTTTTATATGTAAAACTAATATATCTCCTGAAAAAATTAAGCATACTAGTTTAAAGTTATTTAGTAAATCCTGAAAGTGTATTACTTGTTATTCCTACAAAAAAATTCAACTTCTAAGAACGGCCTTTCTATAAAGCAAAGATATGAAGTATTCTGATATATCAATCTCAGCTTGCCTGTAATTTATGAGCAATGATAAAAGAAAATAACTTCTGTGTGGTATGTTATAAAAATGGTGGAAGCAGAGAAAAGCATATAGCCTGGAACAGTCTATTCAATAACACCACCACATTACTTGGTTTAAGAAAACTTAATTCAGAATTAGGTTTCAAAAAGTTTAACACCAAATTTACTTTAGTAATATGAACAATATTAATCTCTTAAAAGTTAACATCTCTAAGTTCTCAAAAAAATGTTTTAATTTCATAAACTACTTATAATGCCATTCTAAAAGTTTATCACCAGGAAAGTGAAAGGTGAAATTAACAAAAGGCACTAGTAAAAGCTAATGGAGGGCCGGGTGCGGTGGCTCACGCCTGTAATCCTCTCTGGGAGGCCGAGGCAGGCGGATTGCTCAAGGTCAGGAGTTCGAAACCAGCCTGGGCAAGAGCGAGACCCCGTCTCTACTATAAATAGAAATTAATTGGCCAACTGATGTACATAGAAAAAATTAGCTGGGCATGGTGGCACATGCCTGTAGTCCCAGCTACTCGGGAGGCTGAGGCAGAAGGATTGCTCGAGCCCAGGAGTTTGAGGTTGCTGTGAGCTAGGCTGACGCCATGGCACTCACTCTAGCCTGGGCAACAAAGTGAGACTCTGTCTCAAAAAAAAAAAAGCTAATGGAAAGGAAAGGCAGTACAGACAAAAAGAATTAAGGAGAAAATTATCAATTTACTTCAAATTTATCCTTATCATGTCAGATTATATGATTTTCTATATCCTAAATAAGGGCATGTGAGATGTGAACCAGTGGAACTATAAACCAATAAATCAACAACAAAAAAACCCACCTAGACAAAGTAGGTATGAATTTACTAAGTTTTGAAACTACTGCCCCATAATAATATTTTTGCTTGAATATGATTCTGTAGAGGAGTGGGAGGAGAAGAGGCAAAAATCACAAAATTATTGGAGGTTTTCTTTCCTTACTATATAAACACTCC